TCGAACTCGCCTTTTGCAAATATTTATTGTGTGAAATATTGCCGACAAGAATGCGCTAGATAAATGTTACACTTATTTGACTTGCCACATAACAAGCAACACCTTTCAGTTTCAGAAGGGTGCAACTCTCTTTCTCTCTCTCTCTGCGCCCCAGTCTGCAATTGAGCTTCTCGCTCGGCAACAGCTTTGTCAATATATCGCAGCTGTGACAAATGCTCTGAAATTGAGCAATGAAGCTGGTTGAACTCACACTGACAACATAAGCAAAAATCAAATACAAATTCAAAGTAAACTTTTTAGCGTCAATTAGCGTGTGGAGGGGCTCTGCCCTGTGGAGGCATTTAACACCATTGACTACTTTTATTTGGCTCATAATTATGTGTTTGTTTTTGGCAATAGTTTGTCGGCAACCGCATTTTTTTTCTTCCCCACATAGAAAACTCGTTCCCAGCCGTAAATTTGTTTCTATGGCAGCTGCATAAATAAAATAACGCCAAAAACACCAACAAACCAACAAAATAATAGCTCAAAAAAAAAAACACTCGAAAAGTACAAAAAAAAAAAAAACACTTTAAGCAGCATTTTCTAAAAATAACAAACTTCAACTACAATTGCCATCAATTCCCATTGCCTCTGATCGCAGCTCTCAGATCTCGGACTCAGCTCAATTGACAAACTCTCACTTACCAGCCGCGACCCACATACGTTATGGATATATACTCGTGTACAGTACTTGTACCTAGACCCGATGGCGTCCACACTTGGATAGAATTGTGGCCCAGTCAATGACATCACACCAAAACCAAACCAAGCCAAACCAAGAGCCGCAAATCAAATTCAAATTCAAGCAAACCAAAGAAGCAAGAAAGTCGCAAAATAATACTCTGAGTAAATGCTCTTAAATGGAGATAACAACCAATAAAACCCCTAATTTTCTAAGTCGAGTTCTAATATTAGCTTCACACTCATTTATGATAATGTATTGATGATTCAGTCTTATATGCATATATCTAATATATAATTTACTTTGCCTTTTTTCTTCTTACAATGAGATAAGAATGCTGAAAAAGTAGAGCGCAATATACAAATTATCAATGCAATGCTCAATTTTTCAATTTATTCAAGTCCTTCTTGTGAAAATGATTCATTCCACAAGTGATTCGAGCAATCAATTTGCTATGACTGTAATACTCTTTGCTGATATTAAATGCTTGTTTAATCATTCTAATGGAATAAGAGACAGAATATTTAATTGTAATTATACTATACTATATAAATATGTATTTAGTTCAGGTTGTTGCATACTCTGTCATTCACTTAATAAGCGAATGTATAGTTAGGGTATAAGAAAGAGTTGCCAAATTTAGGCCACAGATTCAGATGACAAAGCATCAAATTTGATTCGTTTTTATTTCGCGCGCGGCTGGTAATAATTTTTCTTTTTTATTATTTTGTACATACCCCGCACTCATTGTTTGTTTATATGCATGTCTTTTTTGGCAATTGACAATCTTGTTTTTGTGTACGTGCTCATAACGAGCTTAGCATTTGAGTGCCGGACTGATTCCGAGAGTTTCTATTTAGATAGACGCTCGTCCAGATAATTGCTGTACTTCCTCTGTCCGCATGCCGCCCTTATTTATGAGTCGCACTTTAAAATCTAACGCAATGGCAACAAATTTATTTTATTATCATTAGCCAACTGCTGCCTGCAATTAGACTTCGAGTGAGTCTAATTATTTACGGAAATTACGCGTAAAACCACGTCAACCTGTAATTTATTTCACATCAATTGAAGTTTTTTAAAACAAAGCAAAAAGTTGGTTGAAATGAATCATACCGAGAGTGGTCAACAACGAGATACTCTGTACTATATAACTTCAACTAAATTCTAATAAATAGCTTAAAGTAGAAATATTCATCTACGGAAATACATTTTAATCAGACAGATTTTTTTTGATTCGATATTATATTAGGCTTTTGCATTCATTGTACAGAAAATGAATAAAATGAATTCACATCCTGATAATTATAATGTGTTTGTTTCAATTGATTATAATTAACTAATACAATTTAAATTCAGTGATGCAGAATCTCTATTTAGTATGGAAGTAGAAAAGTATTAAAGTAAAAATTACAAAGCTATTAAAATATTAATATTCAATCCAAATGACGGCTCAGTGATCTCTTTCATTAACATTACTCAACCCAAACTTATCACAAGGTTGACGTTTAAGTTTGTTTAGTGATGAGAAATTTCAATTTCGTTAACTGCATTGATTCATCATCGGAATTTGCAAGGCACAAGGGAAATGACCCCAGTGTCAAATCTGATGGCTACGATTTTCGTTTGCATACTTGTAAGAGATTATGATTCATGTCGCTTAAGCGAATATCAAATGTAGAAAGTGAGCAGCAAATTGCGCAACACACGAATTACTCGCAACGCTTGGCGACAATTGCCACTGTCGTCTCCCTGCAACGGCGACAGAGGCAGCAACATGCCAGCAGCTGCATATTGTAATGCAGAAAGCGCTGTCTGCGCAGTTGGCGCCATATCACTGCAGCACGGCGCCCCCGCGACGCCATCGCTTTCGTCTCGACCCGTCCGTCGCGTTAACACCACACAAATATTTTTAGCCGCCTTCCTCTTGGTCGTTAAACCCAATTCCAAACCGAACAACAAATGCTGCTGCTCTGGCTGCAGCGGCTGCTTTCATTCCTAAATAATACTTTTGACCGCAAGTTGCTGATGTAATTGTTGATACTGTTTTTTTGTTGCTGTTCTTGTCGTTGTTGTTGTTGTTCTTCTTGATGATGATGGAGATGGCAGCAATCACAGCGCGAAAGAAAGAAGATTTGTGTGGTCCTCGTCGTGGCTTATTCTTATTGTCCGCTTGCATATGCTCGAGAACAATCTTAACTTATATCTCCCTACCAACCCCCCAAATCCCACACATAAGCAAGACAAAGAGCCAGACAAATACATAACTGTATTACTATATGTATTTATATATCTGAATATCGGGGCATGAATATGCACTCACCGGCGACCTTTCTCACTGAATTTACATTTCATTAAATAGTAGGTACAAATGTATACAAATATATATATTTATATATATATACTACACTCCGAATCTTTAATATAGAAACAGTTCTAAATTACCCCCATTATTATTAATTATAATTGTGGGAGTGTCATTCAATATTATTGTGGGCGTTTCATTCAAAACTATTGGCCACTTTTGAACCTACAACTCTTCCATTAACACTAACTTTTTGAGATTTGTGTAGAAAAAGTTAAGGAGTAAAAAAATCAGATAAGTTGACCATAAAACAGAAGAGTATTTAACAAGTTCGAAAATTATTCGAAATTTCTTAAGCAAATCATTTGTGATTTAAATACAATTTAATATACATATATAATTTAAATAATTGTAGTATAACTCTCACATCAAAATATGCATTGAATACTACAGGTATAATTATGTTTTATACGTATATACATGTCCTATGGGTTCTTATTACAAATATATAAATATATGATTAAAAATATAAATATATAAATAATAATGTCTTACTTAAACCACAGTTTTCCAGTTTTAGTTTATGTTGTAAAATCAAGCGTGTCAATATACATGTGATTCTATACAGATGCCGCGGGGTGTATGTAAGTGGATGCCTCCGAGTCTGTATGTTTGTATGCATAACTGGGTGACACATTACATGCCCTTTGGCTGAGTGACTCATTCGTTTGTGCTGCTGCTTCTTCTTCTTTTTCTTCTTCTTTTTTTTTGGGGAAATACTCAACGTTTTTGAGACGGCAGTCAGTTACCAAAGAGCTCTCACACATACACACATACATACATTTGTTGCTGGTCGGTTTCTCGTGCTGTTGTTTTCTTTTTGCTCTTTGTTGTTTCCATGTTTGGCGCTAAAGTAACAACAAATATTTGTTGATTGTTTTGCATAAACGAGTAAATGCCGCAAATAACAGGTAGTTGGCTGACATGTGCTTGTTACCTGACAATTTATTTACACACACAAGCATATTTTTATGAAGCGTAATAACTGGCTTAAAATTGGCAAAAATGAATGAAAATATTGCCTGGCCTCCACTGACATGGCTTGGATGGATGCAAGCCGTGATTCATCGCGATGCTGACTAATAAGCATAATATTCCTGTTATTCCTATTATGCAGGCAGCGAGAGGCAGATGCGTCTCAGATACTTTTATGTGCTATCTGCGATGCTCTATTTGTGTGTTGCTATTATTGTCTTGCTATCAGTGACTATAAATAAAGTTCAAGCCGTTCGTTCAATAAACACTTAAAGCGAAGCAAATAAACTAAACTTAAATAGATTACAATATTTTCCGGTTTGTAATCGCCGAAACGAAACCAAAATTTTATTTACTTTCTGTTTTATGAAACGCGTCCATTTTGGTTGCCACAGATCTCTTCTTCTTCTTAATCCTAGTGATCGTCCAATCGGTTCTTATGTATACTTCACGAGTCACTAGTGGCCACTAGTCACCACATACATGCTATTCGTAAAAGTGGATTAACCGGTTGGACCCAAGTCTAAACATATTTAGTTTATTTTTAATATTATGTGTTATCTACAGATTTTCGTAGTTGCATCAACACAAATACAAATACATTATTGATTTACTCGATGCTTCCAATGGAAAATTACATATTCAGCTTAAAGGCCAAACAAGTTGAGTTTAGCCAAATATGGTAATAAGATAATCACTATAAACAGTGCTTTATATCACACACTTTTCACTCCCACTTCTATTGCGAACAACGGTAAAATGAGTAAGCTTACGCTTTGAGTGCAAGAGCGAGCGAGCGAGCGAACGAGCTAGCGAGTCACTGAGAGCGAGTGGCTCTGGAGAGCAACGCAGCGCAGTCTTAAAAGCTACTTGTCGCTTCTCCCTGCTGCTGCAATCCACACACAGAGACAGAGAGTGCGAGTAGCTTTTTAGTTACTTACGGGCATTCGATCGAGGCGGTTGTGGCTCGCACACATACAAACATATTTCGTCGCTCGTCGCATTGTGCGTGTCGCTGTCGCTTGCGGCATCAGTGATAATACTATCAAAATTTATCAACACATAAACCGTTTACAACAAATAACAAATCGAACCTGTAAATATGGCAGGGCAAGGACAAAGTGTGCCTCAATTGTGGCTACTGTTAGCCGCGTGCCTCGCTGGCAGCGTCTGCGCCTACAATTTGTCACCCCGACCCAATCGAGAGATCAAAGATCCGCAATTTGCCACCGAGATGCCGAAAGTGCGTGCGTCATATTTCGGTTATACCATCAGCCTGAGACCGCACGGGTAAGTGCCGTTCCACGATCCAAGACATTTCGGACTTTAACTCAACACTAAAGCTTGGTGCGCGTCTTCTCGCTCGCTCTCCCGCTCGCCAGCTCACTGCTAGAGCAAAACAGGTTGGGAGTTATTGATGATTCATTCGAAATCGAAGTAGGAGTATCAATGGCATTGGCAGTGGCAGTGGGAGTGGGATAGGGAGAGGGAGAGGGATAGAGAAACGAGGAGCCGCGCAATAATAATAATAATAAAATAAAAAAAGTGAATGAAATGAACAGTAAAAATAAAACGAAGCACACGCTTAATAAGTTGCACAAATGATGAAGTCATTTACTTGCTATCAATTGGCAAGGCATGCGGCGGAAAGCAGCTGCTGTTCGGCTGCTAGACGAATGACGAAAGTTATTTAAATATTTGCCTCATTGCACGTTTGCCTGTTCGCCTGTTTGCCCATTTAACTTTGCTGCATAATGTACATCCAGAAAATACATCATTCAATGAGACATACTTAGTTATTGTTCTTCGTATTTCTCGCTAACAGTTAGTCAATGCCACTTTTTTAATTTTTTGTTATTTATCAGCTTTGCTTTTTAGTCGATTTCTTTGATAAGATAACCTGCCTCTGTGTGTGTGTTTGTTTGATAAACGGAAAAATGGCAAAAAGTAGAGATGGCAACATTGGCAAAGACGTGACACGTTGCGTCCTACTCTAACTGTATCTACTTGGAATTGGTCTATTGAAATCATTAGGCCGAGCAGAGCACCCTGTTTCTGTACACGTTCACCACAATAGCAGCTACAAAGTGCATTGCTAACACTTATAAAAAAAAATGATAAAAAAAAGTTCAAATGTGTATCGCAGAACGGTTAGTATTGGAATGTGTGTCGAGCCCTCCCCACTTGCCCCACTCACCATCGTCTACGTTTAAATTGCAAGCGAAACGACAAGAGTTGCTTTGCTGTTTATCAAGTATACGCCAAGCATTCACACAGATAAGTTCTTTATCTTATTGGTCACTGTTTCTAAATAAGAGCGAACAGCGCACAGCTACGAAAACAAAATTCCAAATCGTATTTAACTGGAAATGCAACTAATAAAACCTGCTGAATCAATTGGCTGACAATGAGCAAATTCATTTTTTATTTTGACTCAACTGGAAGCATGTCGAGTGCACACTCGAACTTGACTAGTTTTCCCTAATATCTGAATAAAAAAAGATTACACACCCTTTTCGACTGGCATCAAACTGCCATCATCCAAATTTTGGTGTGAAGATCGAAATGAAATATGTTTTTGTGCATTTTGAACTAGTCCTATTTAGTTTTTGTCTAACAACTAGCTGCGAACTGAATACTCCACACTTGAGGAATCAGAGAGGGTGACTTGTATTTCGACCGATTCCTACTACGACAGCTATATTATATAATGGTCGAATCATATCAGTTCCGACCTACAGCAAACAGGCAGTATAGCTTTAAAACTGAGGGGGTTGCGTAATTAAATAAATTTCGATCAAATTGATATTTAAAATACATATTTTGAGTGTCGCTATAATTTTCAATTGCAGCATTATTGTTGGGGCACCGCGGGCGCAATCGACGCTCGAGGCTCAACGGAAGATCAACGAGACGGGGGCGATTTACAAGTGTTTGCTGCCGAATGGCAACTGCAGTCCATATATCTTCGAGGGACGTGGCAATATACACATTGAGAGGAGCGAGTACACATGGGACTCGGAACGCCGAGACTTTCAATGGATGGGCGGCTCCATGGACGGTGGTACACGGGACACCGACAAGCTGCTTGTGTGTGCGCCCCGCTTTATAACGCCCTCGGCGAAAGATTACCATATGCATGGCATTTGCTATTGGGTTTCCGATACGATTGCGGATCAGCCACAGAATATTACAAAGATCTCCCCGCTGCGACTCAAGGCGGACCAGGTGAAGGAGCTAAACAATTTCAGATATTACAACTATATTCTGGGGGAGCAGGGTCTGAGTGCCCATGTCTCCGATGACAATGAGCAGTTCCTCATTGGAGCACCGGGCATCTTTGCATGGCGTGGCTCCGTCATTCGCTATAGCAGGGAAATTCTCGTCGAAGATCCTTCGGCAAGTCGTCGCGACACGAGCAGCCACCTGCGTCGCCGCAAGTCACCCGACGGCGCGGATTCCATAGACTACGAGCCCGAATACACCTATAAGACGGACATACCACGTCCGGATCTGTGGGGCCAGCCAGACGACTCCTACTTCGGCTATGCCGTCAGTTCCGGCCACTTCGATAGCACCAATCTGAAACAGCTTCTGTACGTGGCGACCGCACCACAGGCGAACGAGCAATCCGGCGAGGGTTACATCTTCGACGTGCGCGGCGAGTCAATCGAAAAGTTTCACGTCTTTCGCGGCGAACAGTTTGGCGAATACTTTGGCTATGCGGTGCTCGCCGATGATCTCAATGGGGACAACCTGACGGACGTGATCATATCAGCGCCACAGCACTCGTTCGAGGATTCGCACGATAACGGCGCCATTTACGTGTTCCTCAACAAGGGACGGGTGAGTAATGCTTTTCAATATTGTCTGTCTTCTTCTGCCCCTGCCTTGTCTGGTGTTTGACTTATGACTAATGCGTTGTCATCATTTGCAGTTCAACTTCGAGCTGAAGGTGCTGCGCTGCCCGCTGCCCATTACGGCCAATGCACGTTTTGGCACCACGATGACAAGACTGGGCGACATTAATCACGATGGCTATAACGGTAAGTTGTCTCAGACAGTGACCCCATTTCAAATGATTCCCCATCATAGCCTCCTCCTCCCTCTCTCTCTCTCTCTCTTTGTTCAGTTTCCCTTTTTATTCAAATTCTTCGCTTCAGTGTTGCATCTGATTGTTTTTCAACACGACTTTTGTGTTTATGTTTGTTGCACTTGGTGACTTCCTTCTCCATATACATGTACATACAATGTAGATGAATATATAAAAATACACCTACAGCGTACAGCATATGCAGAGGAACAGTTGCTAGACATTTGAATCTAACACTTTTGAGATCAATTTTATATTAAAGCATAAAATACAAATTCCTTTTTATCAGAACAATCTGTGGGCTATCACTAAGTAACTATTAAACATTTATGTGTTGGGTTACTTTATAGCACTAATTCCCCACTCTGTTGGGCTTTAATCTTTCAGATATTGCTGTTGGTGCACCGTTTGCTGGTAATGGCACGGTGTTTATATACTTGGGCGGTGAGAAGGGATTGCGGGATCAGCCCAGCCAGCGCTTGGACTCGCCCCAGCAGCAGCCATCGAAGTATGGCCAGCATATGTTTGGGCATGGACTGTCGCGTGGCTCCGACATCGATGCGAATGGCTTCAATGACTTTGCTGTGGGTGCGCCCAATGCAGAGGCTCTGTTCCTGTATCGCGCCTATCCGGTGGTTAAGCTGCGGGCTATCGTCAGCTCACAGAATCGCGAGATTAAGCCCGAGCAGAACCGGGTGCAGATCACCGCCTGCTATGGCCTGACCACAACGGCCACGGCAAGCTCGGCCCAGCAGCAGGAGATGGCCATGCGGATTGTGATCGATGCGCAGCTAAGGCGAGCCAAGTTCACCCAGACGCAGAGCCACGAGATGAGCTTTAATGCAACGGCGGGCACAACGCAGCAGTGTCGCGTCTTTGATTGTGAGGTGCGCTACAGTGAGAAGGACATATTCCAGCCCATCGAGTTGGAGATGCACTACGAGCTGACCAAGAAGGTTCCCGACTCCGAGGGTAAGTTAAAGAGATCACCCTTAATATTCACTATGCTAACTGTTTAACTGATGCCCCGCAGAGTTCTGTGAGACTTGCGTTGCTGTCGATCCCGACGATGCCAAGGTGTACACCGAGAAGATCATCTTCAGCACGGGCTGTAAGACAGATATATGCGTTGCCGATCTGCAGCTGAGCGCCAAGGATGTGAGGTAAGGCAGCAGCTCTCATATGCTGTATAGATTGCATCATTAAATGATTTGCTCTTTAACTCTAGCTCCAGCTACATACTGGGCAGCGACAAGACTCTGCGCATCAATTACGAGGTGACGAACCGCGGCGAGACCGCCTATTTGCCACAGCTGAATGTGACCAGCTCCAGTCGTTTGAACTTTGCCCAAATTCCGGGCAACTGCAAGGTCAGCCATGCTGTCATGGTCTGTGACCTGAATCGTGGACGACCCCTGGGCTATGGTGATAAAGACAGCATCACCATCAGTTTCGATATGAGCGGCCTCACTGGCAGCTCGTTGACCATCAGTGCTGAGGTCTTCAGCACCGGCTCCGAGAAGAATCACACCGATAATAAGCTAAACAGCTTAATTGCCCTCAAGGAGCACACAGAAATAGATGCCTCCGGGTAAGACTTTAATGATTCACCTAAAAAAAACTGATTGTCTTTTTGTTTGCTGATTTGATGGTTTAATGGTTGAAAATCTTTAAGCTCATTTCTTTTGTAACCCGTTTAAAAATGCATAAACATATACTAATATCTATCCTTACTTGATTCGTGTTTCAGTGGCCAGACGAATGCACAAATCGACTTGGAACACTACAAGGACTCAGCGCTCGTGGTCAACAACTATGAGATCAAGAGCAATGGACCCAGCACTGTGGGAGAACTGGAAATTGTGTTTCACATACCCGTCGCCTACAGGACTGCCGACTCCTCGGCGACCATACCGATCATCAATGTTGGCAGTCTGAGTATGCAGGCCACGTACGACGCACAGCTGGTGAACGTTGAACTGCTCGACGAGAACAGCACGCAAATCATTATGAATCCCATTGAGCACTCGGAGCGTATGGTTGTCAGTCAGAATGGAGTGCAGCAGACTTGGCTGGACTCGGATTCGGTTAACACGGCATCGATTGCACGCAAGAGACGCGATCTCAAAGGACTGACCGCCAATCGGGAGCAATATGCCCGCATATCGAACATTAGGGCACACGATCTGCTTAGCGAGGAGTTCAAGGGCAAACTGCCCATTAATCGCACCATTGTGTTTAACTGTCGCGACCCAAAGATGACCATCTGCCTGCGTGCTATAATGCGTGTCTATACCTTTAAGCCGGAGAAACCAGTCAATCTGAATATGAAATTTAACGTAGATCTGAACGAGGTCAACGCCATTCTCATCGACCCATGGGAGTTCTTTGCCATACTCATCGACATGAATGTGCGCAAGGTGGGGGATCGTCTGGGTACCTCGCTGTCCATCCGGCGCAAAATTGAGCCGAATGTTATTTCAAAACATCTGGTGTCATCAACGCCTATCTGGATTATCATTGTGGCCGTTCTGGGTGGCCTATTGCTGTTGGCAGCCCTGACCTATCTGATGTATAGGGTGAGTTCTTTGAAATACTACACGCAATTGATTGATATTCAATAAAACTTCGATTATTTCAGTTGGGCTTCTTTAAGCGGCAAACAAAGGACGAACTGGACAAATTGGTGCAACAGGGCACCGTGGAGCCCGAGGCTGAGAACCTTAACAGTGGCAATAACTAAGCTCAATATTGTGATCCTCATTGCTAAGCTCTATTTTATACATCACATTTTTTTATTTTAATGAGAAGCGATACTAACTGATTGAACAGTTGGCTAATACCAAATACGAAACCAATATACCTATAACAACAAATTGATCAACAGTTCGACAGATCTTAAATGTGTTCTTAAAAAAAAAAATTAAAAAAATAAAACAAAACAAAACTAGATATATAAGTATATATTAGCCCAAAAAAACGGGAACGTAGAGCAAGCTGTAAGCCGCGAAGCATCGAATGTTGTGGATTTGTTGTATTTTGGATAGAGCCTTATAGTTTGCAATTTAAGATAAATCTATGTAATTTATGTGGAGCTTATCTTTTGGCTCGAAGTCAAGCCATATTGCCATTATTTGTAAATATTTATAAAATATAAGATCTTTGCTAGTTTTAAAGCTGCAATGTCAACATAAAAGACTTGAATTTTTGTATACAATGTAAAGAAATAAAAAAAAAAACACTAAACAAAACAAGAAGAGGAAATGTAATAAAAACCCGACTATATAAAATTGTAAACAAAACTGCATACTAGCATAATATATGTTCGAGATGAAAGTATTAAATAATTGTTTGATCTAAGTTAAACAAACTGGCAGTTTTCAGCTTACTTGTTTTTATAATGTAATTAAATTTATTTCTTAAAATCAATAAGTACATTGTTTTCTTTATTTTTAAACTCTAATAAAATGCAAGAATTTCTTTTAAAAGTTGCAAACATTTTTCTTACCAACAAATCATGAAAATCGCATTTAACACGAAGCAAAACGTTAACAAGTTGGTTTTTTTTCTTTGAGTTGAAAACATATCTATAAATATATATTATATACAAATTGATTTGCATTGTACCCAATATAATAGGCAGCTACTTAGACTATGAATTTAGCTAAACTCACGAAAACTCACGCACACATACACATAAATAAGTAAAATGGACTAACTAACTAACTATATATAGATGATTATACAAACACACACAGACACATACACACACACACACACACACACACACACACACACACACACACACACACATGCACATTTAGCTGATATTTTCAGTAGTTGCAGGACTAATATATTTTCACACAGAAGTACATATTTAAATTGGGGCGTAAGTACAACGTGTTGCATTAAGTATTACAGATACACACAGATATATATATATATAGAGTTGTGGCAAGGTTTCTTGTTTTTGCTTTTTGTATATATAGATATATATATATATGTTAGGGATATGTGAAATTGAAAATTTCGTTTCATATGTTTTGTGTAACGAGTGAGTTTAACATGGCAATAATTTTCCTTTTTCTTAGTTTTTGGTTGTGCTTAACATTAAGTTGTAGCTTTGCTGGTGGTAAAAACAGATATTCTTTGTATGTGTCGTAAGTGAAATGCATGCATTTTGATTTGCTTTGTTATGCTTCAACTATTTTGTATATTAAATAACAATAAGAATCGACGACTTTGTAAATAAATACATCTTATAAAAATACAGAGAATCTGTGTACTATGTATTGTCAAAAATCATTGAATTGCGTTGCATTCCACCGGGCCGATCTTCAAAACTATTTGCTTTAACATTGATATGGACTCACTTACTAAAACTTATCATGCAGTTTCAACATGAATCACGTATGTATTGTTTGTTGTAACGCCTAGTATTATTAGCGATATGCTGTTGACTAGTAACGCTATTGAGCACAAGGTGGATTCACATACATATACAAATACAAATTCAAATACCTACTACTGCTTACTCTAGGCAACATCAACAGGGACTCACATATCCATATGGATATATATATATATTTATATATAGAGGTTTATACTATTTAACACATTGTTTCGTTATATGGCGGATCCTTTTCAGATTCGGTGCTGCTCTTGATATTGGAGGACAGCTTGGCAATCTCATCCTGGACCAGATGCGTGCTAATCTGTGGTATCGCTAGCGCCACATTGCTGCTCTTCGCGGATGAGGTTGTGGCTGGGGTGGCTTCGCCATCACGGGACTCTTCCGTGCTGGAACTGCTCTCCTTGAGCACATTCATACCCAGTTTGCTGCTGTACGGCAGCCTCAGCGTCGAAATCAGTTTGGCGCCAACCTGTGCAGGCAACGGCGATGCCGACGCCGAGGTACTACCACCAGACACTGACTCTGTGGCAGTCACCGTCTCGGCGCTCGACTGCACCGACACCGGCTTGCCCTGATCCATGCTAAACTGTTTCTTGAGCTGCATGGGTCGCGTTGGCAGTGCTGGCGCTGCCTGCGTCATTACTGCCCCTGCACTCAGGTCCAGCGAGCTGGAGCTTTCGTCGCGCAGGCGTCTGCTATCGGCAGCACCAACGGACGCAGTGCGCTTGGGCTGGTAACGCGCTGTCGCAACCCCGCCAGCAGTGCCAAGGCTAAGTCCTGTTGTCGAGTGCGTGTCGCCGGCATCCAGCGACGGTTCGGCCGTCAGCGAGGGCGTGTCTACATTGAAGGAGCCGGTTAGCGAGGTGTTCGTCTCGTTGGAACTCTGCTTGATGAACCGATAAGGATGCGCCGAGTAGTCCGTATCCGTGCTGGAGTTCTTCTGTAGGCTCTCGCTGGACTTCTTGAATAGACGACCGCTGCTTTCATAGGGCGGATTCAGAAAATCACTGGTGGCACGAGTCGGCACCAGCGGCGACTGAATCGACTGCTGCTCCATGGATGAGTTGCGCTGCCACGGACGCTCATGCTTCAGCTGAAAGCCACTGGCCACAACATGATGACCGCTGCCCGCCCCACTAGTATCACTACTGTCGCCGGCAGTGGCAGCACCAATAAGTTCACCCTCTGCTGGGGGCTTCGATGGTGATAGCTCAACGGCCGTCTCCCGACGCAGTGGATAGCGATGGCTATAGTCGACGGAGACGCTTATCTGCGATTGTTAAGAAAAAAGTTCAAGCAAATAATTAAACGCATATAGTTCAAAAGTATTTGCACTTACCTCATAGGGCTGCACGCTGGCATCGATGGAGCCACGTGCCTCGAATAGACCCTCCAGAATTCTATAGTCATTCTCCTCGCACTCTTTCAGGTGCTTCTTCTCCAACAGGGCAGCGGCCTCGGCGCGCGACATTTCCGTCTTGGGACGATCCAGGGATGCTGTGAAAAGTTCGGCGGGGAAGGTCTCGATTAGTTAGGCTGGGAAGTCAGCAAAGGACCTAAGGCAGGCGCAGGCGTTTTGGTTTTATTCAATTTTTGGCGGCACAAGCACAAGGCAATGAATACTACGCATACGCCCAGTTAGCTCTATATATACAGATTATTTATAATTTCAGATTGTTTTCTATGATGGTTCTCTATCGGAATCGCTGGATTGGTGGTAGGGAAGGGATAGGTGTTACATGGCAGGGGCACTTGCAGGAGTGGAGGGTTGCCAAAAGGTTGGAGCAACACCAACTTACCTTTATTGCTCTGCAGGGAGACGGTCGGTGATCCAATCAAATGGCAGACGCTCTCCAGTTCGTCCGTTATGGATGTATATTCGCTGTGCAGTTTCAGCAATATATTTCTGGAGGGTTTCGCATGCAAAACTGATTTACCTAGAGTTTCGAGGTTAGGTTGAGAATGCGTCAGAGATAAAATCGAGATCGAGTGTTGGTATGCGTAAAAACGTGAGTAAACAAAAGACGAGTGTGTACTTAGTACTTAAGTAAGGTAAGAACAACAATAACAAAGTTATTATGGTTTGTTAACGGCTAAATCCGATTCGCCAATTTGGTAGCTTGGATTGGTCGTTGGTCGGAGTTACTTATGTGATTAGTTGGGATTTGGCATGAAGGTTAATTTGGTTAGTAACCAGAATTTTGGAGCTTGTTACTTGCAGCTGCTGCATAACTAAAGTCTTTCTCTCCTTAGGCCCGTTTTTTCATTGTCTAGTCAAGTTTCGGCTTGCTATGCTAAAGTGAGGTCCAGTGAAAATCATTGTCATTTTATATATAGTTGAAGGTTTAATACAAATGTCCACTCCACGAAAAAATTATAATAAAATCTGCAAGGATATAAGAACTGATGTTGTCCACAGCATTGTCATCTTGTTTCAATCCTCAAATGTTAAAAAAAAATAATAAAACCTGTCACTTTAGCGAGACAATCTATTTAATTAAGTGCTATCCTAACTGGACATTGAAAAAATCAGGCCCAACTCTATTTTCTCCATACATATTACATACCTGGGAGTGGCACTAGTGGCACATCCTTGTCACTATCCGGCTCGGAATGCGTGAGGCTTAACTGGCGCCGAGAGAGTGACGCTAGCTGATTGAGACTGATGTGGGATCGATTGATGTCCACGCCGGTCAGCGAGTACGTCTCCGAGTTGCGGCGACAGAGTGAAACGGTGCGTTGGCGCAGTGCTCGATGCCTGGCAGCTGTATGCGAAGAAGGCGGAGAATACTTTTTTATACAAAAAACCATACAAAAACTGGACGGCGTTGCTTGCATTCTTGCAATAGCAAACCAGAACAGAGCACACAGAACAGAACGGAACAGAACACAAACATAACAGTAGCAATAATGGTAATAGTAGTGGTAGTTGCAAATCAAAGCGTAACGGGGAAGCAAAAGCGAAAATTGGTTTAGTTGCCAGGCGTTTGCAATTGTTCAAGGCAATGGCAATTACCCTCAAAGTTCATGTCCGGCGCAGCATCATCGGAATTATCGCCGCCGACGAGTGTCTGATCGTCATCGTTGTTGCCCATTGGGGTTAGTGTGTCTTTGCTTTCGGTGCTGGCGCCCGTATCCTGGCGCACCGTCACATACGGTGTACGCTTCACCGTCTCACAAGTCGAGGGGCGCTGCGATAGAGGCAAATAAATGTCCGAGTCGGCTTCTGATTGCATGGAGGCCTTGCGCACCACCTGCTCGTTGAGTGCCTCTCGGGATTTAACCACCTCGTCTGGCTCCTCCGGCAGCGGTACCACCTCAAAGTGTGTGCCCTCATCCAGAATGTACGCATCCGGTCGGACCTCGGTCAGTGAACGATTGAAGCGCCTTCGATTGTTTACCTGCGGTGGCAAAATGAATCAGTAATTGTAACTCAAGAGCAAGATATAAACTATTCGAGAGGAACGCACCTGCAGCGAATTTAAAGTAAGTGTGGCACCAAGTCCCAAAGCCGCAGCAATGCCAACACCAGTAACGCCAGCGCCGCCACCGCCACCACCGCCTCCACCACTGCCGCTGCCACCCTCATTGTCGGACATTGATATGGTGCGCACGCGGTGCATTTCACCAGGAATGTTCATCACGGAGCCGCGCAGCTCATCAGTGCCGGCAGTGTGTGCGGACATGAAGCGATGTATGACGCCCAGATGGGAGAGTATCTGCTCCGATGATTCTTCCATTTTGCGCAAACGGAATTCAATGCTCTGCAAAAACCCATAAATAAAGAACAATGTCAACATTGAAATACAAAAAAGTAAGAACAATGTGATATAGACGAGAGTGCTTGTTTTGGATGATTAGGATTACTCTTACCTAACCCTAAAATACATATGGATATAAGGCTAAACTGCGAAGTCAACTAGCTCTAAAAAGCTTAGTTTTTCAGGTCAAAATCTGTAATCAGTTATTTTTTAACAGACGGACAGAGAGCTGGACATTTATAGATCCATTTGGATATTGATTCTGTTCAAATTTATATATATTTTCGCAACTTCAGAACAACCTTTCACTCATTCTGTACTCGTATAGGATATAAAAACTTCATTTCTTGTGGAACCAGCAGCATGGAAATGAGCTGCTCGTCCAGCTAAGCTTGCCATTTGTGGACTTTTCCGATTGAAAGTGCTGCGACTACTGCTTGTCAATCCGAGTACAACCCAAATCAATGTGCGTAACAGAAAAGAATTGTAAATTTGCATTAAATAAAAAGTGTGATAAAAGTTGAATGGATTTAGATCCGTAAAGGTGTGTGCTACACACACCTGCACAGTGGCCGTTTGAAGGTTCTCCTTTTGATTGATGTCCTCGATTTTCTGTGACATTGTCTCGACACGCTCCGTTGTGTTCTTCACACGCTCATCGGTTGACTGATTCAATATGTGCTCCTGCTCATGAAAGAAGCCCTCGACGCACTCCTCCTCAAAATCATACAGCCGCTCCAGGTCGTCCTTTTCGAGAAATAGCTTGAGACCGTTGTCCCGCTGCACCTCCAATCCTATATAGAAAAAAAAACACACACACAGACAATTATTGGTTTTTAGCCAAATCAGACGTAAAATATAACAAGAGCATATTAGCAGAAATATAAACAGTATGCAGTGGTATAGCATATATTGGTTAGAAGACGACGCATTCAGCATTGCAGCAGCAGGGAATATACAGAGAGATATAGAGATTTGTACATTATTCACGTTCAATGGGACTGGGGGAGCAGGCGCTCTGGTTGTTTGACTCACAGGGAACAAAGCTAAACTTTCTCATGCCGGGCTCACCTTTCGCTTTACGCACGCAATACTTGAGCAGCGAATAGAAATGGCAGAAGGCAATAAACGGCGGCGGCAGCACCGGTTTCTGTTGGTACTCCATCACGACGGTGAAGCGCTGGAACATCCATACCTACAAGCCAATCAAATAACCATTAATAACATGCAATTTATCAACTAATTTCAAGGATTTGTTTCTTTTTTATATAATTAATTGGACAATGTTCTCGGTCACTTAACCAGTATATAAATTGTACTAAGCCCTTAAGCGTTGACTCAAACATTAAGAAAGAAGAAAAAAAAGTCAAATAATTAGTGGACACTTAAAAGGTAACTTCTTATTGTAAATTATTAAGGAAGGGAAACATCTCAAGTACTTATGCAAATTATCATATGTATTTACAAATTAATGGGTATTTTATTAATTGTATAATTGTAATACGCTTGTTTAATCGTGTGTGATAATCAGAGCGGATATTTATGTGCACGAAGTACTTTAAAATAAGCACTTACAATATGCATATTCAGTTATTGCTGTATATCTGTGTTCTTAATTTAATGCGCCCCTTTAACATTTTGCTCTTTGCAATAAATAATTAAATAACGTTTTAAGCTGAAACGATTTTCGTATCTCAGGCAACGCGCTTGCATTTGCAGAGATTCTGAGCTCTACTTTTGCAGATGAATCGGGTCGGTAAGCAAAAAGCACCAAAATCACCCGCTGATCGCTTGCCGTTCTTAAATAGCCTTTTTCCATGTATTCAAGAGAAACAAGTGAAATGAGTCTGACCTCGTAACCAAAACGAATAACAGATTAAAATTAAATTACTTACTTTCGAAAAGGGATAATGAAACATGCATTAACATTCAAAATGTATGAAAATATGCTATGCAATATCCGCTCTGGCTATAATCAAGGTTGTAAATCCGTAAACGGCACCGCTACAAATATTCTTTCGTTTAAATTAAATAGAGTTTAACTGCTTACCTGATGCGACACTGAATTGACTTCGTTGAATATATTATTGAAGACGGCAATGAGCAGATTGATCAACAGTATATTGGCAATCAATAGGTACATGGACATTGTTATAGGTGTTACCCAGTGTCCTGCGAATTGCAATAAGTGTATAAATACACACACACAGCAGCGCACACAATGTATGTGGATGTATTCGGGTGGGGTGGTTGGTCAACAACTTACCTGTAACACAGGGCGTCATGTGGGGTTCCTCGCCGCAGGCTGGATCGATATCATCCGCAAACACCTCGCCGTACAGCATGAAGTAGGGCTGATAGGTGACCTGTGCAACGATAAATTAAAATAGGGGCATCATTAAATGGCAGCTGCTGATGGTAACAAAAAATGGCCAAGCGCAATTCAATTTGGGCATTCTTCACCGACCGCCGCCCCGACTGGATCAACATTAATGCAAGTTTTACACATCAACACAGAGACAAAGAGTGACTTGCTATGGTATATATGTGTAGGTGTGTGGGTATGTGTATGTGTGTGGGTATGTGTATGTGTGTGGGTATGTGTATATATATGTGTGGGTATCGGTGTCGGTGTCGGTGTCTGTTTGTGTTTACGTGTTAGCGTTTCCTTTTAGTTTTAACAGCATGCTACTGTAGTTAGGTTAGTTCATTAAATGCTACCCCAGTTCATTAGTATTCGCAAGGTTGCCGGTTGGCCGGATTAATGACATGGCGATTAAACTGCGAGACTATTGGGTGGCATCAGCCTTGGGCGGAGTATTTGTGATAGATTTTCAAATAATTAAGCTTAGACAGGTTGGTATTTACACTCAGCTGGTAGTTAGTTAATTGCCATTGAAAATACTTTTTTCTTTTTCTTTTTTCAAATATATATTCACAGCAGACATTCGAGTTTTAATTAAAAAAATAAATATTTAAACGTAATAAGCTTTTTATATATATTTATCTTTATCCCTGTCATATTCTTTAGTTTTATCTATAACATTACAGCAATTATTTACATTTGAAGATACAAAAACTTGTTTGTTTCTTTATCACCATCTTTATTGTAAGTGCTCAAAACTTAAAGTTGATCTGAAGCCAACAGATTTGCCATCAATAGCACAATATTATTGTGTTTATATTATGTTCTTGATATAAAATCTCTCAGCTTCCGCAGTGTTAAATATTTGCATAACCGGAGCAGAGCTGCGGGATATGAGCCTCGTGTTAAGGGCAGCATGCAGGTCCTTTGTGTTTGTTCTTATGACATGATGTAAACAGCGAATGCATTTTGGCATGCAACTACAACTAGTATTAAGATGCAATGAATTGAAGCAAATTAAAAATATGCATAAATATTATTTGCGAGTGATTGTATTGAAGCAACAGGAAACTGAGTACACACATTTACTTCTCAGATGCAAGTAAATAAATTTTAAGGACATGCTGCATTATTATAAGTAATTGTAATTATTTGATAAAATGAAAAAATAAAATCCAACGTAGTCTGCGAGAAATGGAAATTCAAATTGATTCCCGCAGGGAATCAAAAAACCAACGGAGAGGGAGATAGCCAGAGAGAAAGAGAGAGAGAGTGAGATAGAGAGGGGGGTTTGCAGACAAATTGACAGAGAGAGAGAGAATATGGTATTGCAAATTTGGAAGGATTTGGGACAACATCGATATAATGAAAGTAATCAAGAAATTCATAAGAAACCAATTATGTCAAAAACCAAACGAAAATTTGAGGCACAACAACTATAGACAGCTTTTCATATTTATATCTTTTCATATCATATATGTAACATATCACACACAAAATAGGGACGCCAGCTAGGATCAATTCTACACATTTGTTCTTTGTTTTTGTTTTTGTTTTTTCTCTAAATATCAAACCAATTTTGTTGTTGTACATTTGTTAGATTCCCGTTCAAGAAACTTTGCAGTTCGGGGCTACCAGCTTTATGTTCTGTTGTTGTTGTTGTTGTTGCTGTGGTGGTTGTTGTAGGCGTCACAGTGGGTGTCAAAGTTGGTGGCTCAGTGGTGGACGGCATAGTTGTGCTTGTTGTTGTTGCTGCCGCTGCTGCTGCTGCTGCCGCCGCCGCCGCCGCTGCTGCTGCTGCTGCATGGCTGCGATGCTGGGCAGCAAATGTGCCGGATCCGAAGCCACCGACACGTGTATTGTGTGAACGACCATTATGGCCGAGAGCCGTTTGAAATCCGGGCGCTACAATTGAGCCAGCAATAACCTGACATTTTGCGGCGTATTTATTCAAAGCAATGCGAACGCAAGAGTAATATGTATTGCATGTGAGTGATGATGGGTTAACAGTGTAGCAGAGTGAATGAATTGTGAATATTGGCAGAGTGGATAGTAAATGGTGCATTTTTTTTTTTTTTGTGTATGATATCAAGCATTGGTAAGTTATGGAGTCAGTTGTTGTGAGTTTTCAGATGTTGCGAAAAGGAACAAAAGATAGAAGAATACGATACAAGACACAATGGAAATGGAGAAAATAGCAGTTAGTCAATCGAGTATCGAATATCGTTGTAAATGGACTTATTGAGCATGAAAACTACTTAATAACAAAAATAAAAACAAAAACAAAACTCACTTCAAAGACTACTCATGTAAAAACTAGGTTTAATCTACGAGAAATTGAGTTAAAAAATCGTTTTGCTTGCTTTTCAAGTAAATGCATGTACTCCGTTTCTCTCAAAAACACACAAATTAAGCTCTGCAATGGAAATTTGTCAGTGTACAAATAGTTGTATGTAAATACAAAAGAACACACACTCACCACAACACACACCAACATACACACACACATATTAGCTGCTCAGACATATCAGCTGCTTATTCAGTTGAAACATTAGCATTTACACAATATTAAAATAAAATACTTAATAAGAAAATGTATCGGTTTGTTGAAGTTTTATTGAGTCGAAATACTTTCATTTTTTACAACAATCATACGACCCACCCACACACACACACACACACATTTATATAAATAGATTATAATTACTAGTTAGTTACTTAGTAGCTGACATACCTCTCTGATTAGACGCCAGGTGGGCTCGCTGTTGGGATACAGGATGGCCTGTCGACTGACACCGAAACTCATGAGAACCACAGCCAAGAGCACCACAAAATATATCATATTCTTAACCATTTTGCCCATCATGGTAACCAAAGGACCTGTGGGCAGGAAACAGAACACTCGCAAGTTATTTGATGTGTGCTAAGTTTTATATAAAGGTGATTACTTACCCAAATACTTGTTGACTCCGAGAATGTTCAATATGCGCAAATACCAGTAGATGCTGTCCACGCAGTAGATGACACGACCAATATCCATTGTGGTGGGTCGAAAGCGGAAGGCCAGTCCGATTAAGAAGAGTATTATGGCAGCGCCGTCGCAAGGATTCCACATGTTCCACGCCCATACCGAGAATTTGTGCCTGCAACAAGAGCAAAAGTAAAAGCATATGGAAAAAGCCGTCACACAATCGCATTAATTAAGTGTAACGCAGAAATCAAGGGCCGTAAATCAAGTGTGAACCAACTCTGAAGTCACACACACACACACACAGACAAACACACAACAATGCACACACTCACAGAATACAGGACATAGATAGGAAGAAATGAAGCCGAGTAATCAAAATGCACAAGAGCGTAAAGTATTCGACGATGCGGGACTCATTTATAATCATTAAATTAAATGCAATTAAACCCACACATCCATTGGCAAGTTGAATTCAATTCAATTTGTGAATTACTTACGTAATGGCCACCGGCTCGGAGGATATGATTTCGCGGACCTTCTCAAACCCAAGCGTTGTTATATAAGCTATCGAATACCATTCCTGCCATCGCGGCATGGGTTTCATTCTTACTAGCACCGTAAACGAGAACATTATCAAAAAGAACATGTACGCAATCTGCAAAAAAGGGAAAGTACACAAAATATAATTACAAAAATAAAAATAGTCTCTAATTCCAACAGGTTGTCAAATGCGAGTGGGCGGAAATTAAACACTAGCTTCTAATTTCCGCTACGTAATAATTAAATAACGTTGAATACTTACCGAATCCGCCCAGAATTTTGTAATGGGAGCCGTATAGAACTCATGGAACTTCTTCTTCAGACGCAGCGGCTGATGCTGTTTAATCTCGTTAGTGTATTCGGATAGATGAAAAAATTCGCGAAATTGCGACGGATCCGAATCGGTTAGCGAGACCTGTGTCCCCCAAAAAAAAATGTCATCACATTTTTAAAGAAATGAGAAACAAAACTTTAGTTGATCGTAGTAGAGAACTGTGCTGCAGCGAGTGAAATGCATGTGAAATTAGTTTGAAATTGAGTTGAATTCTATTATCAACATTAGCCAAATGAAATTAGCATTCAAAGTGCGTGATAGATAGCGAATTTCTGTATATAGTATATGTGTATGTACATGTGCATACTGCATATACGTATTAAAATTGCGTATACGAACAGTTGGGCACTGTGAGTCACCCATATAGTATAGGAGTATGTCTACATATATTAAGTATATTTAGTGAAATTAAATTAACTGGTTTAAATTGCGTGTGCAATGTGACGGCATCTGGCTAACATTTTCTAATTAAGTTATGAGCCAATTAGGTTTAAGCCACGCTAAAAGCGTTTGACACATGCAAAACAAAACTTGTAGTATCGTAATTAATCAACTACTTGAATGCAAATAAAATAGGTAAGCAACTTCAATTTGATTGGAGATCAACTAGTACGTTTTTTTTTTTTTTAACATATCGAAGAATAAAGAAAATATTTAAAAAAGAAAATTGTCTACGGGTTAAACTAGAACTGAGTTTCAACACTAACTTTGGAGGGTGGTTCTTCCGCTCCAGCAGTGAGATTAACCTGTAAAATTCGAACGAGTACTTTACGAGTAGTACTTGAAAAGTACGCTAAGTGAGGAGCAACAACAATTGTATGAATGAATTCTGGGTGTTGAGGTGTTTCATTAAAAAATGCGGGTACAACAACTTTTTTTATTATTACTTTTTCGTTAGTTTGGTTTGCTCAGCTAAGGGGTTGGATGGTCTACGGGACGTATGCGTAACGGCGCATGTCATACAATGTTTTCTAGTAAATATATGATATAACTGCATTAACTTTTACAGATATATTTGTATGTTGAGTATATTTTATTATGTGCTAAACGAAAATGATTTGGTCGCACAAGTAAATGTTTTAGTTTCGACTTTATTTGTACGGATGTGAAGGAAATATATTTGAGCGCATTCAATAAAAAGAAGTCAATGACAATGAATAAAAGTGTAACTGAGTGTGTAATTGTTGTTTTTGTGTAACGACAGGTACTTGTGTGAGTGTGTGTGTGTGTGTGTGTATTCGAATATTCGTTGGTATTTGTGAATTTACTCACTTTGCCATTTTCGTGTACTTTTGTGTCGCGCACCGAATAAGAATCCGCCAATAGAGCCTGCAACGGGTTGAAGGGGGGAGGGGCACACGTTTCGCATATATATATATATATTTTAAAAGATTACAATTTACGATTTTTTTTTTATTTTTTTTTTGTTTTATGTTACATCATCTAAATGGAGTCTACAAGTTGTACGAGTAGATGAAATGAATACTTAAGATGAGAAACGGTAGAAACGTAATTCAAAAATATTTGCTATGTGCTGATCCTGGTAATGTAAGATGCACAAATGTACAGAAATAAATAGAACCGTTGTAAAATCAAAAATTATACAGATTTTTAGGTGCATGCCACAAGTAGTTCAGATTGTATACAAATAAGTATGTACAGGTGTATGGAAATAAGTATGTACAGATTCTAGAAACGAAAACCTCAATAATAACCGATTGGAGAGAGTAGAAGTTAATCAATAGCAACACTCGATAACATTATCCTCACAATTTTATAGCTGTGCGCACAAGTTCAATGGATTTTAATGTGATTTTCTGATTAAAGAATTTTCCACTGCTCTCATATTGAAAATGCTCCAACATGTTAACGAGCAAGTGGTGTGTGTGTGAGTCAGTGTGTGTGTGTGTGTGTGCAAGTAAAAACAATATTTGAACAACTGCAGAGTTTCCTCTCCAGAGCTGCGAGCAGAGCATACTATTAGCAAACAGCTTGACATATCTATAAGTATGTAGAGAGCGAGAATTTCAACGTACATTGTGAATAAGTGTGTGTGTGTGGGTGTGTGTGTGTGTGTGTGGGTGTATGTGCGTGTGTGCGCTTGAGTGTGATTGTGCTCATAACGTTTATTACTTAATTGAGCTTTAAATTAAACTATTAGCCATGGGAGACTGACCGCAGCGGATAATTTTAAGACTGCTAACGGGTTATTCGCACTTAATGCAAACCCCAAGTGAAACTTATAAAGCTGACCAGGGTTAATCCATATTGCTGTATATATATACAATTGGAAGCGTATTGTGGAAGGCGTGGCTCAATTAAAAGACTTACATCTGTTGAGTTGGCAATACTGTGAAATGATGGCGAATGCTTTTCGGCTGCTATTAATTTGCACTATTTGGCAATGTGTAAGAGAGAGAGAGAGAGAGAGGGAAAAGAGAGAGAGAGAGAGTGAGAGAGAAAGAGAGGGGTAGACTATGTGTGTTAGGCAAATACTTTGATTGACTAGTACTTAAGTACCTGTAAGAAACTTTGTATACCAAAATACAACTCTACTTGAATAATTGAAATGACTCAGGGACACGTGTGCTGTCAGCGACAGGCAACCGATTTGTTATGCCCGCCTATAAATATCTCATAAATTCCCAGTATTAGTCTGGCAGTGGGTTGAAATCAATAAAAATCAACTAAAGACATAATGCGTTACAAATACGATGCCATAAATAGAAGTAATGTAGAGATAGAGTATAGAGTATAGTTAACACAAAGATAACACAATAATAGATAGATAGTTATAAAGAGCGAAACAGAAACAGACAGACAGCCTGTAAGAACACGAAATAACAAATACGTTTATAAAGACAAATACATATACATATATATAGTATAGATTATAGACGAGTATTAAACAGGAAATGGTTGAAAAATGTTTGTTTTTCTCTTATTTTTTGTGTTTTTTTTTTTTATATTTTTTTTTATTTTTACTACCTTGTCGCGATTATTACTGCCCGCGCCCATCCTATATCTCAAGGAAATGGATCTTTTGGCTTTTAAAAGGGCATTCTAAAACGAACAGAGTGGATAGATGGTATTTGGTAGGGCATTTGTTAGGTATCATAGCACGAATTTGAAGTACATAGTTAGGAATATAAATTTATATTTGTGATAAATGTTTATGGTAATATAAGTAATCTGGTTATTAGATATATTTAGTACTTAGCTTAGCTGACAATTTGATAAATACATAATCTAAGGACTGACACGCACATTTAAAAAACAATACAAAGAATAAACATATTCAAAGAGGGTTTGGTTAACAATAACAATTGGTTAGAAATCAAACAAATACAATAATTAAAGGAAGATCAACAAAATCAGAAAAACTCAACAATTGGCAATGGATGAACTTACCTCAGCATCTGGCTGCGAGCGATCCGAATCATCGTTATCCAAATTTTGATTCTCCAAATGCTCTTCCTCGGTCTGCGGCATTTGTTGTAGCTCCTCTTTTGATTTGAAGTCTAATTGCCTGATATAAAAGGGCATAATTAAGCCCAAGATGACCTGTGAGCAGTAAATCAGTTGTATAAGATTTAAAAAAACCACAAATCAAATATGCTATATTAAAAATTGATTTAAAGTCACCTTAAAATTGGTATTCTTGCGCGTTCGCAGGCCGCCCATCCAGAGATCGGCGAGTATGACCTGGCTACAGGGATGGGCGAGGAGGGCGCGGTGATTGGCTGCGACCGCCAGCGAGAGGCAGCTTTGATTGGACCACGAGTGCAGTTCGCAGGTGAGCAAACGTTGCGCCTTCTCCGCATCTTGGCGATAGCTGAAGTCCAACAGTTTATTTCCTGCCACAACCACAGACAGAAACACAGCCGGAAGCCACAAAACAAAAGGCAATTAATTGGCCACAAAGGTCAAAGGCTTGTCATTCGCGTGATTGACAAATGTCAACTTCACTTAACTTAATTAAATCAAAAGCTTGGCCCCAATTAAGCGCTCCAACTCACCTTTGCTCTCAAACTCTTTGGCATAGGAGCGCAGCTCCTCATAAATTTCAGTATCCAAATCATCCTCGGCCGCCTCGTGGGCCATCGCCTTGTACAGTTTGCAGGCGACCAGTGATTTGGCCAGCGCCTCCTCGCCATGTGTCCACATGAGCAGCGCCATTTGCTGTCGCTTAGTTAGCACCGCCCAAATCTGTAAAAGTCAAATGACCAAATAAATGTCGAAATGACTGAGATGCGCACTCATTCATTACGCACCAGCAGCTCATTGAAGGGGAACTCGAACAGGGCCATTTCGGTGGTAAATGGCAGTAGTCCGGTGACCAGGCTCAGTGAATTGGCGCCCGCATAGCGCTGATATTGATATGACGAGGACTTGCGGCAGGCATTTGCATAGCTGTTCATCACCTTCGCATAGATGGGCCGAAACTTGCGACGCGTATAATAGGATCTGCAATATGTACAAAATACACAATACATATATATATATATATGTAACCATGAATTTTCCTCAACTTGCCACAGCAAAATAATGTAATTTTTCAACCGAAATTTGCATTTAAGCTAAATTTATTTCGGTAGCAGTAGCAGCAGCAGCAGCAGTGGAAAAGTAATAATAATACCCGTAGAAAATGTGGGCTTCGCTTTGGATTTTGTATTATTTGCTAAGCTCTGTCGGCGATGCAATTTCATTCAGTATTCTCTTTGTCACCGTTGGGACGATTGTTGTCGGCTATCCCTATGTTTGTTTGTTCTACTCTTTGTCTGCCTGCCTGTCTGTCTGTCTGTCTGTCTCTGTCTATCCGGCCCGTAGAGGCGGCTTAAGTGATTTTTATTTGGGGCCAAAACTGGCAAATAGTAATTGAGTTTACTTTTCAATTGAAAATTCTACACTTCCAAGTTGCTGTATCTATTTCTATATCTGCATATTATGGCTGTAGACTTATGGTTTTCTTACACGCAATATATACTTTCTAACGTATTAAAAACATGGACAAAGATAGGGCAACCTTTAAGAAATCAATCCTTCTCAAAACATTCTCAAAATAAATAGGGACTATATCGCTTGATAAGAACTCTTACTTGTAGCACTTTGATATGAGTATAAAATAAATATTTGTATATATATAACTGTAGTTTTTGGAGTTCAGTCTACAAATCAATTCGATTTCTGTTAGAATAAGATGTTCCTTTGTGTAAGCTGCCCAATTTCAGTTCCAAAGTTATCCACGATTTAGTTATAGCTAGTAAACACTTAAATTTCGTTAGTTCTTATAAACGTCTACACTCTTTACTTAAATATTGTTGTTTGATTTTGCCTTTTGAGTTCAGCTGCTGTTGTCCTTTTACGAGCAAACAATTAAATAAGACATAAAAAAACGACTGCTGTAAATAATTTATGACGCATTAAAGCGCGACAGTTGAGTTGGGCGCGATTGGTAAATCATGGAAATTATATGCTAAACAAATCAAAAACTTTAAGGCTTTAATTACGCACAAATTGGCGGATCTTCAGGGCCAGGTTGTCAGACAGCTAGCTTGATGACTGTTTGCCTGCCTGTTGCTGACGTCTAGACAATGGTATCAAGCAGTGACAGCAACAACAACAAGAGCTGAACTGAATGACAGGCAAACAGACAGACGCCGGACGAAAAATCAACGCCGAAAAAGGTATTTACCAAAGCCAAGCCACCAAGCAGCCAAGCGAGAAAAGGGCCAAACAAGAACCGTAATTTCATCTAAACAACAGTTTCGATGCCAGTTTTCAGTTCAACTCGCACTGAAGAGCGTTTAGATGGGCATTTGTCAGATAAGTTGTGACCTTTGATTGAAGCACAATAGCCAGAGGACAAAAGAGCAATAGGCTAGTGTTAAATTAAGTAGTTTATCTAGCTGAACGACATCAATGAGCTCTAAGGCCAACTTAATAAATGCCTCAACCATTGCCCAAAGGGCAAACAAGTTAAATAACATCGTACGAAACGCAGGCAATTTATATATTTAATTTCAAAGATATTTATACAAAAACTGAATTGAATTTCAAATGCACTTAAATAGCAGAATCTCTAATATTCACAACCCCTAACTTTTAACTTTTCATTTTGTGCTTTGCAGCCTTTCAAAATCGCCGGAAGTTTCTTTCGTTTCAATACATTTAACTTTTAATTAAATTACATTATTGATACATTTGCCACATTTCAGCGTGCTATTAAAACCTCAATCAATTTGCGCAGCTCAAAATGAAAGCAAACGAAAACGAAGCAAATAACTCAGGTCTAGCGCAGATTTAATACCCCAAAGGACGATACCCTAACAGCCAAATGATAAACAACAAAAAATGTCATGTTGATCAAAAATTTGTGGCCATCAGTAGATGATGTTATTTTGAAAAGATGTTTTTGGGCAATCGAAAATGCATTTGTTGATCTTTAAACATATCAACACCATTTTTATTATACCCAAGAGGGTATAACAGTACAAAGCAACCGCAAAAGCCGCGTTAACTAAATTTAAGTCGCCACATTTTTCGCTTCGCCGGCCAAAATGTTAATGAGCAATAATTATAGACGCCTTTCGCTAGCGATGCGCGTTCCTTTATGACTTTGAGTTTCCTTTTTAATTTTGTACTCCCTGCCAGCGCCCAAACTTATTACATTTTCTTAACAAATTTAGGTGAGCGTCATTGGGGCTCATCAAATTTAATCCGGCAACAAGTTAAAGGCGTCTGGCCATGACATGGCCACATCACAACGAACACGTGCAAAGCACCAGCAAAAAAAAAAAGAAAAAAAGAATAATGTTTATGGTCGGGTCAAAGTTAAAAACACAGAAATTTAGTGAAAGCGCTGCAGTGATGAACTAATTTGCAAAGTCCGCATTGGGCCACTCCCACCCGTTTCGCTGCCTTAAAGTCGTTGCCGCCTACGTCCTCCAACTAAAAGGACACCCACTGACCATTTGGGTCATTTTGTAGCCATTATTTTTAATTGCCGAGTGTTTTATATCTGCTTTAACTAAAGATGCTCATTATAACTTTGTCACAAAGTCTGTTACAGCCTCATTGCATATACACTCCAAAATTTACGATTTTATTCAATTTCGTTTTACAGTTCTCACAAGCCTGTCCTTCTAGCCAACATAAGTCTTCCTTACGCTTTGTTTTATAGTCCTCGGCAATATTCCTAGGAGTGTCTATACTTCGAATTTCTGAAGACTCATTAAATCTGAAAGCTACAAATGTAAGCATTCGACTGGAAAATATCCTGTAACTGATTAAATCGTACCTCAAGAATTTTACCGAATCTTTTATTTATGTCTTGTGAATTAGTAGATAGTTTTCATTTTTGGAAAAGTAATTTCACATCAATAATAATAATAATGATTATATGAAAATACATTTTAAAAAATCGGACTAAGACTCCCTAAATGAACACTTGAACAAATATTATTCCAAGCATATTGGACTGATTACAATTGCATGCACCCTTTGGCAACAGGGTATTTAAGGGCAATGGGAATATCTGTATGTTGCCACTGTTAAAGCATTGTTTTTAGCACTGAACGTGCACGTGCCTGCACGTGTTGCTACTCACCGATAGGCGCCGCCCATTAGTTTATTGATGACAAGGCCAATGTCGTGGAGCGTGTAAATGTAGCCTTTAGGTATATGGGGACGCACATCTCGCAATATGTAACTGCAATGGAGAATGAAAAATAGAGTAAAAATGAAAGAAAAACAACAACAATAAAAATTTAATAGAAAAGAAGCACACACACACAGAGGAAAAACGAGACATGGATGGATGTGAGTTGGCATTTTCATAGGCAAACAATTTGTGGTATGACCAAAAATATTTTGCCCCTGACGCTGCGTTTGTGGCTCCGTTTTGCCTTCCTTATTTGAGAGTAAGCTTACCCCAAGGTATTGGCCGGACCGTGTTTTGTGTTGTAGAGCTCCTCGAGGCGGGGAATTGTTAAAAATTTTTTCATTGAGACGCCATTCTCCAAAAGTAATTTGACAAAATCGATTCTATCATGTTCGAGTGCCTGCATCATGGCCTCGTCCAAGGCGCCTGGGGGTATGCACAGAAATTATAATAAAACGTAATGAGAGACAGAGTATTAAAAATTATGCAAAAGATGAGATGGATGTTGTATGTATGTATGTACAAGTATATCTTGTTTATGTATTATGTACTTATGTATTGGGGACTGCTTACCAATTGGCCATTCCTGGCCGTAGACAAATATCTCGCTGCGTGCGATGTCCACACGATTCCATGTCAACGCCAAGCTCAACTGCTCCGGCGGACTGAGATGCTGCGACTTAAAGAGCGCCGTTAGGATGGTCTGATCCAGCTCCTGCGCCTCGCCTTCGGGCTTTTCCTGTATGCGAAAGACGGTAATCTGCGGGTTGGCGGGTGTGCAGTGGCGACCCAAAATGAAGAACATAATAAAAAGCTTTAAGTAACGCCTAATGTAAACCGCTGTATAAAAATAATTGTGTGCCTGGGTAGGAAGGCAGTCGGCGTGGCCACACAGAGCCCATTTGAAAACCAATTAAAAACTTAATAACGACGACGAAATGCTGACGCAATTCAACAAAATTCTGATCTAGAAATAGCTGAAATTTCAGTGTGCCAGTGATTTAAAATTCATTACATGTTCAATTGAATTTTGTTGGCTAATTATCTTTGCACTTAATTCACGGTTAACTGGCCCAGAGCAATACACAATACGAGTACTCAAGGACTTCAGTACTAATTAAATATTTAAATCCGTACGCGATAAAGTCTTAAGTGATTGAAAAGTTTACCGCGAATATAAAACGGCAGGCAAAGTTCGGTGTGTTTTCATGCGCTTTTAATTGCTGCAAGTCCTTAAGAGCCAATCACCTGGTTGCGAATGGAAGGCACTGTTTGTGAAGGTTCTTCTTTGTAATTAATCGTTTTGTACGTAAACTAAATACACTTACTTCATTTATTAAACTTAATAATGCATCAATGCACCCCTTTTCAAATACAGTTTACTGCATAGTCATTTACCACACTCAGAAATGTTTACCCTTTTTTTTTCAATCAAGACACTTTCAATATATAGGTGTGTGTAGGAAGTGGAAGTGTTTTATTTATACTGTACTCTATAATACATAAATATATGCAAAGAAATAAATGCATACTTATAGAAAGTAATGGCTTGTTGCCTCGCAGACCCAGGCAACCCACCCAACCAAAACACTACAGATTTGTTATTCTTGGCTGAAACCATTTGCATCCATGCTTAAGAGTTTAAGACCTCGATACTTACCAAATTCTTATTACGTGTGCACTGGAGCAGCTCCTGGTAAAGTTTCTCGGCCGAATCGAGGCCAACTTCAAAGGTTTTTTGAATCGTACCAATGAGATAATCACGCATTGACTCCAGCACAGGTTGTTCCTCGCCATCCGATGCATATCTGTACACATATATAAAAGTTAAAGTTTAATCAACGTTTTCAACTCAATATTAAGGCACAGCTGCTGTCGGTGCCATTATGGTGTCTAATTAAATACATTACATTAAATGAAGCGATGCAAAAGGAGGCTCAAAATTGTTAGGTAAACAATAACAAAAGGAAAGGCGCCGCAAACAATATATTTGTGAAAACAAACGCAGCGTATGCGTAATTTTTGTGGCCTACATTTTGTCTTTTGGTCCCTAATTTAAATAATTTGCTAAATGTCGTATACTTAATGAACTTGAAGCCGACTTCCTGACTGCCTGAAGCAGCACCGCAAATTAAATAAGAAACGACTTGCCACAACAGCAGCAGCAGTCAGAGCAGTCAGTGGCATGGCAACCATGCATGACAACACGTTCCTAATTAAATTTACAAATTTACAGTAACTGCGGTGGCTCATTAATTGCGTTGATATATGGACCAGCACCAGCGTGGCAGACATCGGTAACTTCTAGCGTCTGGCCTATCTGCCTATCTGGCAATCAGTTTGTGCTGATGAAATCCTGCCATACCGTTTAAACTTACTTGTGCACAAAGGCGAGCAGATCGGCTGCACGCCCAGAACCATCGCATACAACAACCGGTACAGGAGGCGAGTCCGTCACGTACTCCAGGACAGCACGTATTGTGTTTGTGCCGCCCTCAATCACCAGACAGACGACGGGCGTACTGGAATGTGTGACTGCAACAAGAGAGAAAGAAAAACCAACACCAGAATCATTTTTAAGCGAATAAAAATATGTGCAAGCTGAGCTGAAGTTGCTATATATATATATATATTATATACTTATTTATATAAAGTGCTGTCTGCATTCTTCAATTTTACAACAGTCATAACAATCATCATTAAAATGCCACAGAAGAGCACTTGGTTCTTTGTACTTATACCTTGCCTAGCTCTCTATTCCATTCTTAACCGTTGAGTGGAAAGCCAAATGCAATTTTCCAACCATAATAATAAATGCAAAGCGAATCATAAAAATCGTATAAAATGCTTTTAAGTCAAATCTTTGCTTAACTATAGGTATAGTGTAGCCTCAATTTAATATAATTTTTATGATCTGTATATTTTTCCTTCATGCTCGAGAAAGTTTTTAAACTTTAGCCATTTTCATACTCATTATGGCCTGTAAACTTTATTCAAATGTTTTTCACTATTTAAGCTCCTTTCATTCATTAAAAACAATTGCTTGTATTAAATGTTTTTCACAAATTCTAAAGCACAGAAATGAAGTATGTGTGCCTCAACAATATTATCATATTTAAATTTGTATTATAACTACTTATAGTTAAAAAGCTTGACTTAAATAATATTCGCAAGTTTTAAAGCACACAACATTTTAATCCATTAATTGGATTTTATTTACAGCATTTTCGCTGTATTTTAAGCTTCTAAGCACATTACATCTTTACCTACATCCCTTCTATTATCCCTTACATGAATGACATCGTCATTGCGGCTTTCAACCATGTAGAATATTGCGGCTGTACGTAATTTGTATTCTGACAATGGGAATAAATGAAAACTGGACTGTGCACAGTGCGTAGCTGAGTCGCTTTGAATGGAAGCACTGAGCCTCAAAGCATATTAATCTTAGCTACAATTCTGGGAATTGAGAAATGCTCTGCTTTCAATCTAAAATTCGGAATTCAACTAAACTGATTGCTTTTTGTTCACAAAATGTTGTCGGTTATTCAACTTATCGCTTACATGGATGCAGCTTTAAATTCGAAATGAATTTCTCCAGTTTGCGTCGCAATATCAATTCGGCGCCATATTTTGCTTGGGTGCCATTGTCGACGAGCAGGAAATATGCATGACGATTGTTCAGCACAGCCAATTTGGATCTGAAAATCAAATGAAATGGGACAAATAGCTAGCTTATTATGGGAATTAAGGTATGTGTCAAGCGTTTGTGCTCCAATCAATAAAACCAGGTGTAACAGGTGCGACATGCTAAGCTGAAACAACTTTTACGAGTCTTGTGGCCTTATCAAATATGCATTAAAAGCTGTACACTCACCTCGGCGAACTAATACTGTGACAGGGCACCTCACGATTGTGGCCCAACAGCTCATGATTGCGCTCTACAATGCCCCAGGGCGCAATGCCGATGCTGACCACACGTCCGGTGCGTTGTTGCCCCTCCAGGAGTAGGGCGTCTCCCACTTGCTTGGTGACGCCTGTAAATAGACAATGGGCGGAACAATAACAACAACAATGTTCAAAATAAATAAGTTTTTCAGCGTTTCCTTTTCTTGTTTTTTCTTTCTCTTTTGGAGTACCTTAACTTTCAACTTTACTTTAGTTTTCTTCTATATACATATATATATATATATATATATATATAGATGTATAAATATGTCAGTGCTGGTATGTTCATTGGGATGTTGAGAATGAAGCAGAGCGTCCAAAATTTAATAACATCTTCAACACAAAAGAGAGACGACAAAAAGGACTATAAAAAACAATATGTATGCCACATCACATTCATAATACCCTAACAAAAATAATGCAGAAAGAAACAACGCTTGTAATTATTTATAAAAAATTAAAAAATGAGTAAGCTCAAAAGAACTGATTATTATTATTTTGTAACTAATCACTACAAGTTGAAAGTTTTTAGATATTCTACTGAAGCATTTTTTTTTGCTGCTTGAAATAGGTTTAAAACCAAAGTTCCTAGTCAAGTTTATCAGAAAAATAGTTGCAATAATAGTTGACTGCGGAAAGTGAAGATATGATAAAAATGTTCAAATTTAATGCATGAAAAATGTATCATTTAATATTGGATTTTGTATAAACTTTGTTCTCTGCTCGCGAATTTTTGTGAGACAAGCAAGTTCCATGCGGAGTCCAGGCTCCAAGCAACTCCATGGTCAGTGTACTGCAATGTGTCGGAGCCCGTCATTTGTTAGAGAAGTGTGTGCAATCACTTGGATGCACGATTTCCGCATGGGATTTTTATTTATTTAATTTTCAACTGGCTGTTGTGTTGCTCTTTTGGGTCATAGCGTTTCATTATACTTTGCTTGGTTTTGTTAAAGTTATTTAAGTTTGGACTTGTTTTCAACTTTTCTTTAATAGCCGAGCATAAAGAACGGTGGAGTCTGTCGTTAAAGTGAAACTAAACTCACCAGTGTTGGTGCCACCAGTGAATATCCAAGCACCTGTCGTCTTAGCCGCCTTCAACAGTCCCTTGCGTATTTCCTGCGAGAGCGAGAAATAAGGAAATTCAGTTGCCAAAATATGCCAAATTCAAAGCCAAGCCATAGCCAAATCCGTGGCCAAAAGCCATTCAATTAGCGTGTGAAAGACGACACTTGCGGGCGAGAGATACAGAAGTACGCTAAAGAAAGTTTTGCTTCGCTTACCTTTTTTAGTTTGGCCTGTAAATCAAAGTTGGCTTTGCCTCCTTGCACGGTGATCAAAAGTTTTGGCAATTCCAGATTCCATTCCTTGGTGAATAGCTGCACCAGCAGCTCAGGTCGCGTATCGAATGACAGGCGCACATACTACATACACAACACACAACGCACACAAAAACCAGATGTGAGTCAGTATTAGTCGAAAAGTTATTGGCAAATGTCGAGCGACTGCTGAGACTCGCAGGCACTCAAACAAAGAGCTATTTGACATGTGGCACCGACCACGTGCCACAACAAGCCTTATGTCTAATAAACTCACCTGCGCCTTGGTGGGATGAGCCCCGCCCTGAAACTCAATGGTGCCATATGCGTCGGTGGGCTGGGGCCGGGTGTGTTTCGTGGGCAGCCACAAATCGCCGGGCGAACCGCTCTCGATGCCGGCTATCGTCTGATGTGTGATCTGTGCCTGGCCGCAGCAGCATCTGTCAAAAGTTGCAAGTGTTATGGTTGTTGCAAGGCATATTAATTACGAAACGACAAACCGGATGCATCGGATATGGCCAAAACATATTGCTGGCAAATTAATTCAGACGAGGAAGGGGAAATTGTTGATGATATTGTCAATGCGCGTTTGTATAAATGACATTTGGCAAACACGCGGCAACTCACACCCACACACACATACACACCAATATTCACGTGCCATGCCCACGCACATTACGGGTCTCACGTGTAAAATAAACCGTTATTTATGCATGTGCGACTCTTTTGTGTGAGCTTGTTCTGGTCGGCCTTGTTCTTGATAGCTGCTTGAGTTGGTGTATCTGTTGCTGTTCTGCTTGCTTACTCATTCAGCTGTCACATTTGTTTGCATGTGTGTACAACGTGTATGTGTGTGTACCACGTGTATGTGTGTGTACCACGTGTATGTGTGTGTACCACGTGTATGTGTGTGTTAGTTGTAACAATAGAATTTTGCAGAGACAGCCTGCTAGCTGCTTGTCAGTTGCCTAGCTCTGAGGGCCATTCTTGGCAGTTGCTCACAACTTTTGGCACTACTAAATTATACATTTCAATTACAGCTAACTAACACAAGCCACGCATATGCATCAGTCAGCAACAAATGGCCAATGAATAAATCAATCGCATTTCAAGTCCTAATTCTATTAAGATTAGTGTTGCCACGAATATACCCATGCTTAGCTGGGGTTCAATCAGTAAAAAGACTGATTAGCGCTGTTGCATACTTAAAATAACCTTTTCTGCAACACTTCAAATCAAATTAAAGTGTTTAAATCGTTTATTTTTATAATCTACATAGTTGTGGCAGTGTATTAACATAAATTATTTTTATATAGCCTACATTGACACTATTGTCTGGCAAAAATGCAAATATTAACTTTCTCTGAACATTTTATAAATTTCCTGCATACTCGATTATGTGAAAATAACCACCAAATAATTAATTCAAATGGCTGCCATTCCTGACAATTTATGCTCTTTTCGCAACAAATTTTATATCTAGTTACATACTTTGTGGAAATTTATTTTGATGTCGATCAAATTTATTTTTTAATTTAGCGTATTAAAGAAATAAACAAATATACCCATTATAGCCCAAGTAGTACGGGTATACAAATTAAATAAATCTGCAATTTGTGTGTGGCACATGCAACACGTGCTGTTAGCCCACCAATCAAGCTATTTGAGGCACGCTAAGCCATGAATAATGTGGAACACACACACACACACACAACCACCACTTAGGAACGAGCATGTGTAAATAAAGCAATTTATTTTGTCAGGACAGGGTGAGGGATAATTGTTGGCATTGTGTTGTGTGGGCGTCTAACCATTGTTAACATCCACAAGAATTTGTCAAGCCACAACAATGAAATAGATGCAATGTTAGCCCAAACACAGCTGCCAGGCAAATGTTTATGGTTGTGGGTTAAAAGCGCTGCTAAGCGAAATCAAATATTTGGACAACAGCAAAAATACTGATAAGAACGTCAGCGTCGCTTCACTTGGCGTCGCAACGCGTCGAGTCAAAGCCATAAAGCCGTCATAAACTGTACTTAGTATAATGCAATACGTAACTGAGAAACTTTCACCCAAATAAGCCAAGTCAGGCCAAAGATGAGGAGGAAGTGGCAGAGACGTCAGGCTGGCAAGTTTATAACTCATTTATCTCGATTGGTTAGAGATCACATCTGGACGGAGCAGAAGGAAGAAAGAGAGCAGGGAAAGGTGTTCTCTGCCTGCCAGCCATAATAATAATAAACAATAAAATGCCAACGCCAAAAATGAAACTAAATACATAAAGCGCCAGCCAGTATCCAGAAAACTAGGGCAAATAAATTGCGCCTCTATGCATCAAACGGGTTCTTGATACGCAAAACTGGGTCAAAACTTTGAGCTCAAAGTGGGTAGGAGAGTTGGGGTCTTTTACACATCAGATGCACTTCACTGGGTTAATTAGTAAATGAATTGCAATTGAGTTTGAGAGGGAGCAGGCACTTACTTTGTATCGTCCTTTGGGCATGGTATGAATTTGATGCACTCGCGTTTCTGAAAATTGGTCTCGATCCAGCTGCGCGGCTGATGCTAAACAATTATTGGACAACAGACAAAAGAAAAGTTAACAAAATATGAAAATCTTATTAGTTGTATGCCAAAGAAAATTAAAAACAATTTATTTTTGTTTTTAGTCGCATAATCTGCATTTATCATAAACTTAAAGTACAGCTAGAATTATCCAAAATAAAAATAGATATTTTTATATACATAGGCAGAGAGTTAAATTAATTTCGCCATTTTGAGAGTGAATTCTATATTTGGTTTCTGAATTGCTGTTGTAATTGTTTAATAGTGCTTTAAGAATCAATTTATATACACAAATAAATTAAAGTGTATATGATCCAAGTGCTCAGTAAGACAAAATTCCATCAAACAGCTACACAACATTTAGCATAATTATTAACTCAACATACATATAAATAACAAAATCAATAAAGAAATTCAACCATATAACAATAACAACTACATTTATTGCTTATTTCATATATATATTTATAGTTACACATGTTAAATTTATATTAATTAAATTACAAAATTTAGCAAATGTATCTCTCAAATGTAAGCTTAGAAAAATAATTATCTTTTGTTATAAATCAATAAATTATTAAATCACATCACTTGCACAGCAAATACTTTTAAACTGTATTCGAAAGCATTTTTAAACAAATATACCAAGTCTAAAAATCATCTAAAACTTTTCTAAAGTACTTGAAATTTATATTGATGTATTTCAATGTGGTTAAAATTTCTCCAATTTCTTTCACTAATGGAATATACTTGGCTCACTTCTTCCCTAAAGGAATAATAGGCACATACTTCTTTACTACTATTCACTAAAGTCTTCCAGACACCAAAATTGTGTTTGTAACACAGACAGACACAACCTCATAAGGAGTTCAATAAATACGATAGTAGATGTCTAATGGCATGCCAAGACATATTGCTATTGGCATATTAAATTCAAACTTTTTGCAACTGCAGTTAAGAGCTGATAGCACAACCATGCAAAGTAGTTACAAAGCACAACAAACAAAAAAGAAAATCAAATCGAAAAACTTGCACAAACTATTCACAGTCTCTCAAGCTCAAACACACAAACTCAGGCGCTCACTCAAAGTTGTAACAAATGCAACAGTTGCCCATAAAAAAAAAGAGGGGCAAATCGCTTGCTAACTCTCGCTGTGATTAGTGCCAGTTAGTGGCAGAGGGGTAGTGGTTGGTGGTTGGTGGGCGACGTTTGCCTAGTTCTATGTCCAAGTACCTCTCCAGCTGATTCGTTGTTTGCCTGCGCTTTGAGCAAATCACGTACGTTGAGTATCAAAACTTTCGATAGCGTCGACGAGACGGAAGAACGTTTACGCATTCGCTGCCGTTTGCGAATGCCACGCGGCGTGCTTGGCAAATCCTCACCTAAAACTGGTGTGGATGGGGGGACGGTTTGGGGCGCTGTTATGGTGATGGCTGGCGGTGTATTGCTGAAGCGACGCACAGTCGAGAAATCTCGCGAGATGCGACGCAAATATTTGTTCGCCGCGTGCGGTGAATCGATAACCACCATTATGAAAATTATGTGAATGCACACGAAATTTATCGCGTCTATTTTCTATTTTTCAATCTGTTTTTTTGACTGTTTTTGTTTTGTTGTGATTTGATAGTTTTTTTTGTTTTCTTTTCACTAACACACGCTAATTATGGATTGCTGCTGCGTTTTGCTGCTGCTGTTGTCGACAACGCAGCAAGTGAATCTCTACTGGCACGCACCTGATGCTATGAACTGATGCTGGAACTAACGGGACAGGCGAATGAGTAGCGCCGTCGCTTGATAAAGCCGGAGTTATTTACAATTTTACTATTTGCACGGCGAGCCAGCGAGCGAGCCAGTTGAGAGAGCAAGTGAGAGAGCGAGTGAGAGAGCGAGCGAGAGAGAAAGAGTATGCACTTTGTGGTTTTTGTACTTGTGGTTGAGGCCACAACAAGCCCAGCAGCGCTCAAATTAGATAAGCCATAGTCGTTACACTTCTAAAAATAGTTGACCAATATGTGCGAATTTCACCACTCGCTAATAGTCTAGAAATGTAATTATTATATAACTAGACACTAATTTTCAAAGGGTTTAAATATATGCCTTTACATATTTACTATATAGTATACGTATGTGTAGCCTTCTCCTATAAATAAGTTGGTTGAGGAGTATGCGATAAAAAATACTAAATATATATTATTAAAATCTTATTCAATTAAAGTGTAGTCAGGTTTTTTTTTAATTATTTTTTTTTTATCACTTGCTTGTCACTTTTTAATGCAGGTCATTCTCAAAGAATTTTTATTATTTTTTTTTAATAACTTTTTTAACAGGCTGTCATCTTCAGTTGAAGCCAAAGCACGTTGGCAGATTTTACTCAAACTTTCACATGTACAGAAAAAAGAGTTTGTTTGCTTTAGCAAGCCAGGAGAGATTTTCAGTGCTGAAAACACATTTTCAGTGCTGAAAACACATACACAATAGTTATCAGTGTGCTGGCTTAAAAGGAACCATTTTTTTTTTAGCTCCACGGCAATCTGTTGTGGTTCCCTGGTGTTTGGCGCTGTGTATATGCGATGCATTCGAGTGCAGCAAATCAATTTGGCTGGTGAGTCTGCGTGTGGGTGGGTTTTCGAGTCGACAGATCTCGCTTAATGACTTTACCTGACCCGTTTCAAATTAATATTTGCTGCAGTTTAAATTTTAACCAGGCTAACTGGAGATTTACCCAGAGCTCAGCTGCACAAAATGCCAGCAAAATGCATTTAATTAATGAGTCTGTCAATGTGAATGCGTGTCTGCATCAGAATGCAATTATTAATTAATTAGTTGCTTGTTGTGTCACTTGGGCATTTTATAGTCCTAAGCATAATTGATTAGGCAATCAATGAGCTACAGGCACTATGTGCAACTGGTCAGCAGAGGGAGCTAAACTGGGAGGCAGTCTGAGAGGAGCTTCACTTAATGCTGAGCACTCAATTATGAACAACACATTGTTATATCATTGTAATTAAATGTTATTCAAGTGAATTTACTTTGTAAATTAATTACTTGCAATTGTAAACTAGAAATGGGTTTGTTTAGCATAGTATGAATCATTTTCATTTAATTTGATTTTGTTTTTTTATACATCGAATTTGCCTAATCTACTCTTGCTGAATATTACGATTTTTTACTAAATGCTTAGGTAAATCATTTAATTAATAACGTTTTTTCAAGTAATTAAAACTAAGAAATATATTTTATGGTAGCTTTAATGGGAATTACAAATGAATGCCTTTTCTAGAATACAGTTTTTTTTGTAGTAAATTGTACATAACTTAACTTATCATTTTATTTCTTTAGAATGTATTTAATAGATAATAGAGAGCCATCAAAAAAAGGTACTTAAACAGCATTCACTCAACACCAATAAAACTAGAGCTACAAAATGCATAATTTTACAAACCTGCATTCAAAACAATCAAAAATACAACAAAATTTGTAAAAACAATTAACAGAAAATACAAAATTATGACTAATATGCGAGAAGTACAATAAAAAACAAAAACAGGTGTAAATGTTTAAACGATAATCATAAAAAACAACAAGTGTAACGAACAACAACATAAAACAATGAAATAGTTGCTAAAACTGACAAATCAGAATTGAATTTGAATTCAAATTGAAATGTTTATATTGCTTACCCTGGGTACAGTTATATTTATCAGACCCCAACAGATTTTTTTCAGTCCCCATGGTATCTTTAATGTGTGTGTGTGTTTTTTTTTTTGACATTTTATGAGATTTATGTATAATTTATTCACATGTCAAATACAACAAATATGTCGTGTGAGTGTTGTATTTAATATATAAATTATTAAATATATATATATATTTTTTTTTAAGTGATGCGTAGACAACACGACATGTTTGTCATGTAATGATATTGTTGTATTGCGTGTGGTTTCAAAATCATTTTTGTGTGCAGTTTTATTTGTGTTGCACACACACGCACACACACACACACACACACACAAACACACACACAGAAGGTGCATTGGCGCACAGGTGAACAATAATTTCGTGTTTATATTTAGCATATGTTTTTGGGTAGAAATAAAAGTGAAAAAATATAAGATGATAAGAAATTAATACGGTAGTAAGTCAGTATAATTGTTGTTTGCAACCAATTTGCGTATGTGGGAGACGGGGGGTTATCAGATAATACATATTGCATTAAAATCAGCATAGATTATAAAGCATACGTGTTGTGGTGTATGTGTTTTAGATAGAATTATTATGTATTTTTCGAGTTGAGTGTGTTGTGTGGTGCAAAAGCAAATTGGTAAATAGAAGAAAAATATTATTGTGTTTTAATTAGTTGAGAGCATTTTATTTATAGTTCAAGAGTCAACTAGAAACTGCTCGGCTAGCATTATTATTACTTTATTATTATTGTTAGTAATATTATTTTCGATATCAGGGGGCGGGGCTGACGCATTTGGTTTGACCGACTTACTACCAGACCACTTTGCCGGAGGAGCTGTATTTGCGACTCGTTTATTAAATTTAAATTTAAATAAATTATATGTTGTTAAGCAAATCTATTAAAGATATATTAACGATAAATATTTAATAGTTTAGGCAATATATATAAAAATTGTACTAAGCATTTGAGCAATTGTCATTATTACATACAAAATACTTAAAGTCAGCCAATTGGTCAGCCTAAAAGTATGCACTACACAATTATATTTTCAGAGAATCTTAGCATACCAATCAGTGTATACAGCTCCTAATTAAATTTATATTTTATACACATTTATGTGTGGATATACACTTACAATAATATAGAACATAGTTTTTAATACCCATTAACCACAATTTTCACAGACCATAGAGTATACAATTTTTGAACAAAAGTCGACCCTCAACCAAGCTTAGCTGCGAAAACAAACGCAAAAGTACGAACAAACAACCACATATGCTCACACACACACACACACACACACACACACAAATTCATACACACATAGACAATCACAACTCACACACACGGAATATTTGTCGTACGGCACATGTTTCATGTGCTGGTACTCAATGCTAAAATGGAATGGGTGTGCCCCACCCAGTTACCCCTCTAAAAACCGCCCACTGTCAACTAGCTTACATTTGATTACCACAGCTGGAATGTGACTATGGGTTTGTCTAAGTGCTGAGTGCTATGCACAGTTACAGTTACAAGTGTTGCAACACCCCACCTCTTTACGACCCTTTTAAATGCTGGCTCCTTTACTATTTCACTCTTGCCCACAAGCACAGAACACACAAAACAAATTTGGGGCAGCCGCAAGGTAACCAACTGATATGACAATGATGATGGTTAGACCCCAAGTTGCAACCGTGCTGCACAGACAGCTGCGCTACCAAAAATACCACAAAATTTGCAAACAAATTAACTTCACGAATTCCCACTAAATCTATATTTATAGTTCCATATAATTTTGTCAATTCTATTGTGCGTTATAAATTCATTTATGTTACAAAGATACATTCACCAGTCATGTAGATAAACCTTTTAATAAGCAATTTAAATTAAAAAAAATAATAAATTGGAAAATTGTGCGCTAAACTTTATCAACAATGTGATTACCTCTACAATATTGATTTTAAACTACAACAAAATGTAAGCAATCAAAAAACAATACAAATATAAAGGGAAATATAGTATAATTAAATCCAGTTGCACACTCTATTCACTGACATCGAGTGAGTAACATAAATAAATAAATATGTACGTAAATATCTAAACATTAATGGCAACAAATTAAACGATATTTTACAAAATAACTCGAAAATTGTCAATGCATATTTGTTCTACATATACATTCATGTAAATATATTTCAGTGAAATGAAAATAGAAGTAATCTAACAAATATTATACATTTAGCAAATATCAAAACTAAATCAACTTCAATGCTCCCAACATCTAAAAGTTTACCTGTTGCGTATATACCCCACACAACTGATATTCACAGGGTATTTGAGGTTTGTATATATTTCGCCGCTAACCGCACTTGCTGCCATCTTGATGAACGTATATGGCCAAGAAGAAAACTGACCATCAGAAGAATTTCTTTGAAATACGACCAACAAAACTGACCGTCAAACGGGAAACTTTCAAGATTTAATGTGCATCTCCCGAGACATCAGTGTGGCAACCACATCTAAGTGGGCTTAAGCAATAATAACACAAACTAAAGAACAATTCAAACTATTTACGCATCGTTTCTTTAAAGATATCATATTTTCATGATTCGCTTAATTATGGGGAAAATGCATTTGCAGTGACATCTGTGTTAATTGACAGTTCAGTCAGTTATTTACAGTAGTAAGCATGTCAGTGGGTGGGATGAATTCAAAGAAATTATGTGTGCTGCCAATTGGAATTGTGCATTGTGCGGTTCGTTACCGGAAATTGCCAAAAGCAATTAGAACCGTTGTTGCCACGTGCCTCAATATTTGGCATTTCTGGAATTGTGCAACGTTCAATTGAAGGCTTGTAGAG